TTCAAGAAACATTTATTATTATTATTATTATTATCAAAATTTAAAACAGTTGAGTAAATTTTTGGGGGATTCTTTGATGAATAGAAAGATCCAAAGATCAGCATTTATTTGAAATATAAAGCTTTTGTAACATTATACACTATACAATTCAAAAGCTTGCAGTCAGTAGAATTTTTTCTTTTTTTTTTGGAAAGAAATGATAGAAATTAATACTTTTATTTAGCAAGGATGCTTTAAATTGATCAAAAGTGATGATAAAGACATTCATAACGTTACAAAAGAGTTCCATTTCAGATAAATGCTGTTCTATTCATCATCTATCTAATTCTACTCAGCTGTTTTCAACATCGTAAAAATAATAAATGTTTTTTTTAGCAGCAAATCAGAATATTTGAATGATTTCTGAAGGATCATGTGACTTGAGTAATGATGCTAAAAATTCAGCTTTGAAATCAGAGAAATAAATTACATTTTAAAATATATTCAAATAGAAAACAGTTATTTTAAATATTCAAAATATTTCACAATATTACTGCTTTTGCTGTATTTTGGATCAAATAATAATACTGTTCAAAAACTTTTGACTGGTAGTGTATATCATATATAAATATAAATATAAATATAAATATAAATGGTGGTGGGCCGCCTGGACCAAAAAATGCCTGGGCCGATTTTTTGTCCCAGTCCAGCCCTGGGACAGCATGTTGGGACGGTTGAACATGAGCAGTATGAATATCATCGCTGTAGCTCCTCCCTGATTGAAGAAATAAGCCATGTTGCAACTGCCCCTCGCTGCAACCGTCCCCACTCTCCCCCTATATGAAAGTTTAACTTTTTGATAAAAGTTTCAGTTTCAAGTAAAAACGCATGATTTAGTAACAAATATGATCAGACAAACATTTAACATCATATTTAATAGCCTACATATAGGCTATATTTGCACCCGCAATTCTGAAATGGGCCTGAAGAATCGTGTTGAGTAACTGAGCAGTTGAAGACACTCTGATCATTAACATGAAACATTACTAACATTATAGGCTACATTAATTCGCTGGTCTATAGTAATCATGATTATACGTCATGTGTTGTATATAGAACTTATTTCTTGACTTTCTAACTTATAATCTTTTAAGCATTAAATAATGTAGTAATAGGGGTTCCTGGGTGAGCTGAAAGTCTGACTAGATCTATTAAGTTGGAAAATAATACTATTGTAGCATGTAAAATTTAAAACAACTACACTGTAATGGGAAGTGTTACCAAAAAGTTATTCAGAGACATTCCTGAGTTTCCTCACACCAGAGTGTTTTGAGGTGTAACTCAGCTTCTTGTTTCGACTTGTTTGTAAAGGAATGGAATGTGAAGGCCGCAAACTGGTTTAGATTTTCACCTCATATATAAAACTAAAGCATTTATAAAGATGGGAAATACCTACGGAATGTAGATTAAAAAAGAATAAAAATTGTTTAGTGGTAGTCAAATGTCTGCCTAATCTAATAAAGATAATTTTTTGAGGTTCATACTCTGCTTTATGTTTTCCTCAAAGTCATCTGGATGGAAGAAGATGCCATTTTAACAGTCCAATTGTATAGTTATCACTTCTGCATGTTTTGTCATTATTCTTTCCCATGTCACCCAGGCCTCAGGTGTAGCCATCAGTGATGAGGTGGTGGATCACTATAACGCAATCCGGGTGCGCCAAACAGGAACTGAGGTGGGGCAAAGGTTTAAACTTGTGGTCATGTGTTTGAGCAAAGACCGAAAGAGCATCGTAGTGGACGTTGAAAACTGCCTGAAAGTCAAAGATGTGGGGAACTCGGATGTCTTAAAGAAGATCCTCAGTAAGCTTCCTACCAATGAGTGCCGCTACGCCCTGTACGACTGCTCCTATGTGAGCATGGAGAGTGTGAAGGAGGACCTAGTCTTCATCTTATCGTATGAGGCCTTTGAATCTCACTGATCAATCTACTTTTGCAGTCATGTGATGGCTTGTGTTCCATGTGACTGTTTGGTTGTACTAAGAATATCTCAAGTGTAAATCATGCCATTTTCAATGAGCTCCTTTTAGAATAAGAGGACATATTTTGGCTTTGTCAAAAATGTCTCCTAGGAATGGGCTGAAAAAATCCCACTGAAACCTAATCTATGCTTCCTTTGGCAATACATGCTTATTGGTGACATTTGAAGTTAATTTTTGGTGGGAACTTGAGCACCCAGCAGAAACAAACATGGATATGTAAGATTGGCTCATAATAAAAAAAAAGTGAGCCAATGTACAATTTTTTTTATTCAATGGTCAAAGACGTCCATCTAGTGCATGTTTTCATAGAAAAACATTTAGAAAGCAGCACAATGGAACACAAAATGCATTCTGTAAGAAGCAGCCATTACGATTTATTTTCACCATCTTGCTTGTGTTTTTATTTATTCCACAGTGCCCCTGAAACTGCCTCCTTAAAGAGCAGAATGGTCTATGCAAGCTCAAAGGCTGCTCTTAAGGCCAAAATGCCAGGTTGGTTATGGTCAATGTTACAATTAATATTTTAAAGCGCTTCTTACAGTACACATTATTCCAAAGCAGTTTTATAGAAAATGAAAACTAAAGAAGATAACTTGTTCTTTTTCCCTATAGGTTTGAAATTTGAGTGGCAAATTAATGAACCTGCAGACAGAGAAGCATCATGCCTTGTGGAGAAACTTGGTGGAAGGGTCATGGTAAAGTCTTTGGAGGGGATCAGTGTCGACCAATGACCCAGCAGCCATCAGTCTGTTAGTCAAAATGAAAATGATTTTTTTTAGGTATGCTAATAAACTTAGTATTTCATTGGAACCAGTATTTGTCATTTGACCAAGTGAGAACAACTCGTATTGATCATTATTAAACAAATACCAACACTTTTTAGTAACAAATCATCAAATATAGTATAATGACAGCAAAAATCCTGTGTTGGAAATTACAATTGGACTGTGCTACCTAATGCAACTCTGTACTTGAAAAATAAAATCATGTGATTTTCAAAAACTTTTAATGTGTTTCTTAAAGACACAATATGTAAGATTTTTTTATTAAAATATCCAAAAACCACTAGAACAGTGTTATATATGTTGCTGACTTGTGTACTTGCATTATCCCAAATGTTTCAGAAGAATGTTTAAATTCAGAGAAATAAGCAATTTTACCTAGTGACACGGACCGTGTCTATAGTGTCATTGTGTCGCCTGCCAATTACGTCATAACCCCTCAATTTCCGGTTTTGTTTTGTAGAAAACATGGAAACACCAAAGACGCTTTAATATGTTGTGCGTTTTATTAGACCGGTGACGACCGCACAGAGTAGCATTATAACAGAACTTTCAAATGTATCTAGTACGATAAAACAGCTCTGCTTTTTTTCCCCCCATATGCACGCAGTCCCGGCGCCAGAACATTTTAACAGGGGGGGCTATCCCTTCTGCCCGGGGCGGGGCACATAGCGTGAGTGTCAGTGGGCGTTTGGTATCGATATAATTTAATTTAGCCTATAAAAAAAAAGTGATTAGTATTACTACTCATCGTCACTATTTGCAGAAGAAGAAAAATGTATTATGATTTTGCACTGGCCCGATGCACATCAGAACTAGTTCAAACTTTACGCAAACATTTTTTAAAAAGTAACGATTAAAATAAGATGAAGTTATAAACAAATTACGCATTCTATAATAAATAAAATAACACCAACCTGCTAGAACAGCTGGAGTCTGCGGCGCTTACTCAGCAAATGATTTACAACAAGAAATTCAATCATGTCCATTACAGAGGAGAGGTAGTAGCGATTCCTAGCTAATTGGTTACTGGAAATTTCAAGTCCACTTTCAGCCCGTTTTTCTCTGTCTTTCCAGAGTGCCATGCTTGTAATGTGTGTACCACGAGTCTGCAACTTCTCGAACTATATCTTCAGTCACCAGACTGCTCGTGTTTGCAATGACATTATTTTGAATTTCGTGAGAACTGTACGTTGCATTGCGTGGTATTGTCTTCATAACACTCCTTAACTCTGGGTCTTTTCGGAGGGTATATTCGAATAATGAAAGGAAAAGTCCACTTCCATCCTCTGTTAGACAATCAAAAGCATCTGTGCTTCCCCTTAGCGGCAAATGATTCACAACAAGAAATTCAATCATGTCCACTACAGAGGAGAGGTAGTAGCGATTCTCCCGTCAAATCCAGATTTTTTTGTCAAAGTTTCTAGCATAATCCAACATTCCTTCTTAAGCTCATAACTAAATGCTATTAAAAAGACAACCTGGTCTTTTCAAACTCGGATAACAAAATAGGATGAATTTTAAAAGAATAGTTCACCCAAAATTGATATTTACTCACCCTTAGGCCATTCAAGATGTAAATGAGTTTGTTTCTTCATCGGAACAGATTTGAAGAAATTTAGCATTACATCACTTGCTCACCAATGGGTCCTCTGTAGAGACATCAGAGGATGGACTTTTTTTACTGGAGGAAGCGTTATTATGTATTGACTGGTGTTTTGGCCAGAGGCAATGGTTTAAGTTAAAACAACAAATTCATTTATACCAGCTATTTGGTCTCTCATTCTTACATCACACATTCAGTGCAGAGGATCAATTAGTGAACAAGCGATATACTGCTAAATTTCTCCAAATCTGTTCTGATGAAGACACAAAAAAGTATCTACATCTTGGATGGCCTGAGGGTGAGTAAATTTTCAGCAAATTTTCATTTTTGGGTGAACTATTTCTTTAAATAAAAAAAGAAAGAAACATGACAGTAAAATAAAGCTATGTTGCCATTTATCATTTATTATCGAACTTACTACAATGGTGTTGAAGCCAGCTACAGCGAGGGCATTCCAAATGCTGTACCCATGTACCAATACAATTATGCATACTCATTCACTTACAAGAAATTAATTGCACTAGTTAATGTACGCATAACGTACATGCGGTTTCCCTTTTAACACTGACATCAGGAGGAGAGGTGCGGGAACACTAAGAATATATATATATATATATATATATAAGGCATTTGAGGAATATTTTCTGACATAGCCAGAAGGTTTCAGATGGAATGTGAAGTGAAAATAGTTCCAGCACATTTCCGACATAAAATGTTTGCATGAGTTAGATTTCTCCAAAAGTCTTCAAACAATTTCTCCCAAGACTATAGTACGACAAAAAAGGGAAGAAAAATTTTGGTCATCTTAAGGCAATTTTTGGCAATTTGTTTTGTTTTACACCTCAAACAGAAGTGCCTTGCTTCAGCTCTCCATCACCCTCCTGAAAAACAAAGAACATAAACAACGTTAACAGGCATGCAGCTATTTGTCCTATACACTTTTATTAATTTGTATGATGTTTGTACCTCGTCTCGCAGTTGATCCTGCAGGGTCCTGACTTGCTCTTTCTCTTTGGAAAGTTGGTCCTGACTGTTTCTTAGCAGTTGTTGGAGTTTGGTGGCTGCCTGGCCCAAATCTTTGGTCATCTTTCGCTCCTTCTCTAGACACTCCTAAAACAAAGTCATGAGCATTAGGGATTTACATAGAAACTCACTTCTAACAGTTAAACAAGAAACATTTTAGATAAAGCTCTTCCAGTATGCATGGACAAAGTCATAAATAAATGCTCATTTTTTTATTGCCATGTAATAAGGTAAATAAAATACATACAAATAAACTTATTACAATAACAACTACATAAGATCTTCAGTTTAAATTTAAAAGTGCTTAATCATTGCATAATTTCTGAGTGATTTGACACTTTTTCCTCTTCTTTCCTTTTCTTTCCTTCTATCAAAAGCAAACTCAAGAATAATAAGATTTACAAAGTTTTAATAATAATACCCAAGTGAACTATACACAATTTAAAGGGTTAGTTCACCAAAAAATGAAAATTCTGTCATTAATTACTCATCCTCATGTCGTTTCAAACCCGTAAGACCTCCGTTCATCTTCGGAACACAAATTAAGATATTTTTGATGCATCATTCCCATGAGCTCTCTGACCCTCCCATAGACAGCAAGGGTACTACCCCGATCAACGTCCAGAAATGTAGCAAGGACATCGGTAAAATAATCCATGTGACATCAGGAGTTCAACCATAATTTTACAAAGCTACGAGAATACTTTTTGTTCACAAAGAAAACAAATAACGACTTTATTCAACAATTCGTCTCCTCCGCGTCCCCCTGGTGCCATTTTGGAGAGTATCTACAGAACATAAACAACGTATCCGCGTGACGCAGCTGACACAGAATAGCATACGTTGTTGAATAAAGTCGTTATTTTTGTTTTCTTTTGCGCACAAAAAGTATTCTCGTAGCTTCGTAAAATCACGGTGGAACCCCTGATGTCACATGGATTATTTTACCGATCTCCTTGCTACGTTTCTGGACCTTGATCATGTAAGGACCCTTGGTGTCTATGAGAGGGTCAGACAGCGCTCAGATTCAATCAAAAATATTTTTGTGTTCTGAAGATGAACGGAGGTCTTACAGGTTTGGAACAACATGAGGGTGAGTAATTAATGACAGAATTAAATTTTTTTGGTGAACTAGTCTAGACTTGTGCCGGTATTCGGTAATGCGGTATATCACGGTAATGAATATGCACGATATTGTTATCGTGGGCACTTCTAAATACAGTGAATAATTATATATTACAAATTATTCCGAATTTTGAATGCATTTTAAGAATACTTTTCCCATCAACTGGTCAAAATGCACAACACTGATAATACCGCATACCGTGATAAAAGCATTAGCAATTAATCACAACATGAAAATTTTATACCGGCATATCCCTAAACTAGACATTACATAAATAAATTGATAAATACAAAAAATTATATACAATCTTTCAAACTGATATTTGATAAGTTCTTTCTAATATTTTTAAAAATATCCATTAATTTACTTTGAGAAAAACATTTCCACAGTACCACTTTAACAGTCAAGGAACACCTACAAAAAGCATGTAAAGGCAATTCTTCTCCTTTCAATAAATACACACAGGCAAGTCTTGTGTGACCAGTTCTACATCTTGTAAATACAGTTTGGACATTTCTATTTTCAAACCAAAACCAATGATTAGATCTTTCATTTATATACTTATATACTAATATACTTTGTTATGGATACATTTAATCCATTCCTTTTGCCACTTTTTGGAAATCTAGAAATCTAGAACCAACATCAGATGTTGGTATTTGACATTGTCATTCCCAGCTGAAGTGCTTTCTTAGCAGCTTAAACGAAGAAAAAAAGGAGAAAAAAACACATTATACTGGTTATCAGCTTTTCAAAGTTCAAAAATACCTTCAGCTGAACAACATCCTCCATGGCTGCAGCGTCTCCAGCTGACTTCATCTGTTCTAGATGGCTCTGAAGCTGTTTTTTGAGGGCTTCCTGAGCCTATAAAGGATGGAATAATGCGTTTAATGAATAACATGTTTTTAGAAATCTAGACGAAACACAAGATCTTGAACACCACTGTACCTGCTCCACTTCTGCAGAGAGCTGCTGGTTTAGAGCCTGTTCACCTTGCAGTTTTTCCAGCGTCTGCTCCAACTGAGCCTGGACCTGACCAAACCAACAATACCACCCAAGTAGATAGGTTATTGCTAATCCATACTACTGCAAAACCTTTCCATGCCAGCCAACACAAGAGCTGCATTAGTGCACAATGCATCCAGAAAATGAGAGTGAAAACAAGCATAAAATCATACAAAAATAGTAGGATCTTCAAAGAAGTACGAGTTTCAAATACAAAAGACAAATGTTAGTGGTTAAAAAAGGTGAGTGACGGATAGAACCCGAGCGCAGATATTCAGAGATGAAAACAGGCGCCTGGGTTAACAGAAGCTGCTAAAAAACAAAATGCTGAAATATGAATGGTTAGAATTATGAGTAAAACATCCCCTCATTGGCAGAACTGGATAGGGAGAATAACATATGGCACATAAACATAGCCTCTTGTACAGGGTAAAATCATCTCAATGTGTAGAGTGAAATGCACTATGTAAATAAATTTGAATCTATGGATATTTTGGCATACAGACTGTCTCATAACATAATCAGCAATGTAAGCAGTATTCCAGTCAACCATTTTTGGAAGACTTATTCTATAGGCATTGATAGGTTTTGAGAAACAGCCATAGTTAGTACTGAAAAATCTATCTAAAACTGCCAAGTGAGGTGCAGGGTGCTTTTCTGTGTCGCACCCTAACCTGACGCTCCTCCGCCTCAGGCTGCCCGTTCTCTGCCACTCCCTGAGCTCGCTTTGTCACGTCACTCAGTTGCTGCCCGACCTGGAAATAAAGGCTGTCACTCAACAAAACCAACTTTGTTTATTTTCCTTGGCAAAATCTCCTGTTTGGCACATGATTGTGGGTAAACAAAGAATAGTAGGTGTAAACCTGTAGCAAATGCTTCGGACTTCAAGAGAAACCAACCTGTGAAAGCATGCTTAAAAGAGCAACACATCATGCCGCAATCTAAAGAAATTCAAAAACAGATGAGAAACAAACTAGTTGACATGTATCAGTCTGGAAAAGGTTATAAAGCCATTTCTAAGGCTTTAGGACTCCAGTGAACCACGATCAGAGCCATTATTCACAAAAGGAGAAAACTTGGAACAATGTTGAACCTTCCCAGGAGCGGCCGGCCTACCAAAATTACTCCAAGAGCGCAACGACGACTCATCCAGGAGGTCATAAAAGAACCCAGAACAACATCTAAAGAACTGCAGGCCTCACTTGCCTCAATTAAGGTCTGTGTTCATGATTCAACAATAAGAAAGAGACTGGGCAAAAACGGCATCCATGGGAGAGTTCCAAGGCAAAAGCCACTGCTGATCAAAAATAACACAAAGGCTCAAATTAATTTTTCACGTAGAGCCAGGTAGGTTTGGACAGCTTTTTTCCCTTAATAAATGAAATCATTATTTCAAAACTGCATCTTTGTTTATCTTTGGTTATCTTTGTGTAATATTAAAATTTGTTTGATGATCTGAATCATTCAAGTGTGACAAATATCCAAAAATTAAAAAAAAAAAAAAAAACAGGAAGGGGGTAAAAACGTTTTCACACCACTGTACACTTGGGTTCAAACTTCTAAGGTAGCATGAACCAGACAATAAACAAATTGTGGAAAATCTACATATTGAATCTGTTAAATTCCTTAGTCTTTCCTTTCTGTGACGTTTTGGCCTGGAGGAAAGCTACAGGAGTCTACAATGAATTAAATGCCAGTAAATTTGCTACTCACATTTAATTAAATCATAACTTAATATAACATTTAAAAGGCTGTGTCACAATTCCCTTATTTCAGTTATCAAGTGTAAAATTTGATAACTGAAATAAGGGACTTTTAAAGACTTTTACGACCTTAAATTTGAGTTTTTAAGGACCCACGAAGACCTTGCATATAAATGGTTAAATTTGCTCAGTGGAGAAAAGGTCATTTGAATGTAAATCAATAATAAATGAGAATGCATTAGTTGAGTCCTAATATGAAATATTTTATATTTTGATAGTACTTTATTTTCTTAGTAACTGGATTTTTCAGTTTATGGTTTATTTATAGAGCCTGACACATTTTTGCACTCTGTAACACTCATCTTTTGTATTCCTATAGTGTCCTGCTGTACAAAAACTCATTTCCACAGGTGAAATCTGTACCTGTTGGGTTCTCTGGTTCTCCTCTCTCAAGCTCTCTGTTGTCTCTTCTAATTCCTGCATCTTTTTGAGTGCCTACATAAAATGACAGACAAACTCTCACACTCGCTTTCACTTGGAGGTGGAATGACCCTCCAAATTCCCCGAAATATTATGAATGATTTCCATAACACTTGGATAACAAAATCATAACCAAAATATATATTTTCTATAATCAAAGAAAAATGTATAAAGTCTTCTTCATCATTATTATTGTACTTACACTATGTCTGCAGATTTATGTGTGTGTGTTAATACAGTGAATAAACCTACCATTCTCAGTTTCTCCTCTGACTCCATTATCTGGGTCTTCCACACTTTCTCCTCCTCCTCTACACTCTTCTGAAGTGTTTTCAGCATCCCCTCCTAAAGAACATCAGGAAACAAATCCGGCTCGATCACATTCTCATTAAGGCTTTGCTGAAACAGATTCTTGGTGTATAATCTCACCGTCTCAGCCAGTACGCTCCTGTACTGTTCACACTCAGACTGTAATGTGCACTGACTCTCCTGGGCTGCCTGTAGTTTCCCCATTATCTCCTAATAATAAAAACAGCATTGTAGTAACTACAAATATGCCTTACATCCCCAGTAGGGGACAACAAAGAGCCACATCATTAAGATGATAATAGCACAAGACCACAAACCACAGTACACTTACCACCATCTCTGTGCTTTGCTGGGATTCTTGGCTCTGTTGCTTTTGATTTAACACCTCTTGTGCTTTCACAGCAAAGTCTTGCAGCCAATTGGTCTGAAGAAAGAGAATGAGAGACTCAGGATTAGCTAGCATTCAAAGTGTATTACGTGTATCAAGTACGCTACCATTCAGAGGTTGGGGGGTCACTAAGATTTTTTTTTATATATACGATTTTTTGATTTAGATTAATTTTTTTATATACAAAATTGATTAAAAAATATATAAATAAAACATTTATTGAGCACCAAAATTATCATATTAGAATGAACTGAAGGATCATGTGACACTGAAGACTGGAGTAATGCATACTGAAAATTCAGCTTTGCCATCACAGGAATACATTAAAATTGTAAAAATATTAATATAGAAAAGAGTTATTTTAAATTGTAATTTATTTCACATTATTACTGTTTTTACTGTAATTTTGATCAAAGAAATGCAGCCTTGGTGAACAAACTTTTGAATGATACTGTATGTATAGAGGGACTGATGTTACGCGTTTTTGCTTTTCCAAAACACACCAATATTACAAGTGGATCCAAAAACAAAACTGAGAAATGAAACCACAAGAAAACTGAAATCCTAGACACCTGCGTTGTCTCTATGTTGATGTGTGGGAAAAGAGAATGAAGAACTTCTTTGGTCTCAGCCTGGACAGATTTCAGCATGTCCTCCAAACTTTCCTGTAACAACATTATATGCTCAGTGACAGCTGAACGCAATATTCACATTAACACCTCTAAAACCAACAAAAATGCTAATCTAAGCACAGAAATTCAACAAAAATTTGTTTTAATCTTCTGTCTTAGTTAAAAGCAGAGACACTGGAATAAATAGTGGATTAACATGAAACAAATGATTTGAGGTTTCTTTAAAACTAAAAACTGTTGAGTAAAATGATGACCCTTAACACTTCTTTTATCTGTCACCATTTTTACACACACAGAAAAACCTATATATGGTTCTTTAAAAGTCCTGAAATAGAAATGGAATAACACTACAGCATTCTGCTTTGTACTGCAAGACCATATACCCAGCTGACATGAGATAAAATGTGTGCCTACGCATGTTTTATGAATCACTGTGTACATGTAAGATAATGACAAGCACGTCCACAGTTGTCTCAGTTGGCTACTTACGCAACTCTTGCCTTGTGACTGATTTAGTTCCTTGAGCTGCTGCACTTCCTGTTGTAGTGATGTCACTAGGCTCTCTTTTTCAGTGACACTGAAAAACATTATAAAAGCCACTTGGCTTTTGTGGAGGAAGGCACTTATCACAGAATGGTGTTAATGTGGGTGGCTGACAGGAGCATATACATGCAGTGGCCTTCAATAGGACTGAATATGTACCTTTTATGTAGTGACTCCAGCTTGGCTGTGCTGTCTGCCAGCTGTAAATGAAGAGTGCATTATTAGAAAATGGTGAGTAGTTTTAAACTAACAAATGATACACTTTAGCTTTAAAAGTCAACATACTAATATAGAATAACAGTGAAGTCTCACTTACTTTAGTGTCATACTGTTCTTTACACTGCTTCATCTCTTCTTCAAACAGAGCCACCCGAGACTCTCTTTCTTTCAAACTACAGGAACAGGAAGAAGAGAGCATATGGCATTAAATCTTAATAAGAGAATGAGAAAAACACATGAATTTGAAGCTGTTGTTTGCATCACAAATGACGCATACCTGTTTTGAAGCTGTTCCAGCATTTCTGTATTTTCAAGCTAGGAATAATAATAATTCAAAATGGGATTAATGGTTAAGTCTAAATTAATTTATTGTTTGAAGAGTGAGGGTTTGCATATGATAAACTTACTCTGGTGAGGTCTGAACTTTTTTCTTTAACCTGTTGGAGCTCTCCCTGAAGAGTTGCTATTTGGTCATCCTTTTCTTTAATGCTTCAATTCAAAGGAAAATATCAAATAAATATTTAAATCATTCAAATCAACTACTGAAATGTATTAATGAAGCATCAGAAAACATCCTTATTGTACCTGTGCTGCAACTGCTGCACCTTTGTTGTGTTATCCACCTGAAGAGGACATGTGATTGGTTCAAATAAGGTAGCACAACAAATCACATGCTTTACACATTAAAAGTCAAAGTTACTAATGAAATACTAAAATGAGCTGAAAATGTCTAAAAAGCAGTATGTTCGGCTTCACCTGATTGGCGATGATGTTTTTGAGTTGGATCAGTTCCTCTTCTTTCTCCTTCAGGCTAGAGATTAAACAATCAATGTGAATTCATGTCCAACAAATGTTAGCTGCAAAGCTGATACATTTATTGATGCATTTTTTTTTTGGTTGAATTGTACTAAAATTGTATGACTGTTATGCAAAAAACAAGAAAATTTGTCACTGGAGAAAAAATAAACATTTCATCATCATCTGAAAACAAGTCTTATCAACTTACACAATTTTTGCGTCTCAAACTAATATGGCCTTTTATCTTACCTACTCTTTGCTTGCTCCAGTTCAGCCATCGAAGCCTGTAAATATTACACATGCAAATGACCTCACAACCATATATTTCATAATTTACATAATGTTTAACAAACTTGAACCCATTTATTCAATTTGACACATCTCAGAAAGCAGAATGTCACCTCTGAATTGTGGTTCTGTTCTTTGTTCTGGCTCGCCTCCAGCAGTTTCAGCTGGCTCTGCAGACTCTCCAACTGTCCGGTCCGCTCTTTCATTTCCGCCTCCATACTGGCCACACGAGCTTGAGCCTCTGAAACATTGCAGTGACGAAGAGAACTCATATTTCTAATTACTAATTCATAACTTCGCTAATGCTTTTGTCCAAAGCGACATATAGTACACAAGAAACCTGATGTTAAGCGTTTTGTTAGAGGACACATTGTGGGTACTGCAAGCATTATACCTTGCCTGATTTGCAGCTCAGATCTAACCAACTTTTTCAGTTATAAAGAAATGTTTTTAAAGCAGACTGAATCTTGTGGTTCTACAGAGTGCATCCTTGCTTAAGAACCAAGTGGGTGCTAACCTGCTAGAGCAGTGGCGTCTTTCTGAGCTTGTTCAAGCTGTGTCTGAAGGCTGTTTCTGCTGCTCTGGGTCAGTCTGAGCTCCTCACTCACTTCCTCCAGACGCTTCTGCAGGGCCTGTTCACTGCTCACCCAGTTCGCCTGCAGGGGACAAAGCATGAAAACAGAAAACAATTCAGACTTGGTCACCCAACGCCACTAAATTCAGAGTCTTTATAAAATAGGTGATATCTCATAAACAGTAGAGTACAGCGCTAGCAACACCAAGGTCATAGGTTCGATACCTAGGGAAAGCAAGAACTGATGAAATGTGTACCTTGAATGCAATCTAAGTCGCTTTGGATAAACACAATGGACCATAACCACCTAAAATTTTTAAACACCTAAAAACAGTAGCCACAATTTTGTGTTCTGATATGATAAACAACATTCAAACAGTTTTACTTTTTTGGAGGGAGGCAATGTAAATAAAATTTATTTTATGTCCTAATGTTTATTTAGACTAATTTCTAACTGGGAACTAACATAACATAGGAACATTGAATCTCTTCGTGTTCGATTACTCAGAGATTATATCAAAACCTTACAAAAAAATAAGGCTTCTCATAAGGTTGCTCTACACAAAAAAATTCTATTTAGATCACTGACTCACACTCTCCAGACATTACCCATGTCTCTCCTAAGCCAGTGCACCGTCTAGATGCTTAAAATGGGCTCAGGACACACTTCAACACAAGGCTGCTTTTTATTCAGTGGTCTTTGGTTTGTAGCAGAGGATTAGCGAAGAGACGTTTTATCTGTGTTTCCAGTATGAATAATCAGATACTTCTGCCTGAAACTGTACTGCTCAGGCAGGCTCACATTCCAGATAGCTCGAAGAAGCGCTTCTCTGTAGTGTGGGCCATGTTCCAAACCACAGAGCACTGCTGAGTGATCAAACTGGCAATCAAATGTTCTGCCAGCATGTGAGCAATCCCATTAGTAGAGGCACCAGCACTGGGGGGTCAAAGCCTCAGCTTTACCAGCAAGCCTAGTCAAGCTTCTTAAATACACACACTGATTGCAAGAAACTAAGTTTGTCTACCTGCGGATGTGGCTAAACAGCCCAGCGAGAGGTAGCAGAAAGCTCTAATGAGGTTGGTGCTTATGCTGGGAGATGTTTTATAAGAATTAGAGTGGCATTTTGAACTCTTTCATAAGAGGCATCACAAAACTAACTACAACTCAGCAAACTAAACAACAGGAATGATTGGCGTCTGTGGTGCAAAGAAGGGTGAGTATCTGACCTGCAGCTGGGTCAGTTGTTTCTCCGCCATGGCAGCTTTAGATTCCAGATTTTTCCTGAGCTGTTCGTCAGCCTGCAAGGCTTCGTTCTTCTCCACCAGCTCCTTATTCAGTCGAATGCAGTCCTGACGCAGTTTGGCCAATTCAGCATTTTGTCTAATGGATCAAAAAAATTATAATTACCATTCTGGACAACACAGTGTAGTTGTCATCATAACCAGCGGCAATCATCAACAACCCACATGAAGACATTTTTACGGCTGCTTGGATACTACGGTTGCAATCTTATTGGTCAAAAGTTTTGATCATCCAGGTGTCTCTGATATAAAACAATGTTTGTCACTATTGTGAAACAGATTATTGGGTTTGGCAGGAGCTGTAGGTTCATACTTGCTCTCCGTCTGACTGGTGGCTTGGTTAAGCGCATCTCTGAGGATAGAGTTCTCCTGCTGTAGACGGGCCAGCTGAGCATTAGGGCCTTTCTCCAGCTGGTCCTGGAGAACCAAGATCTAAGGAGGAGCAGAAAGGGCTTAGGCACGTCACGTAAATATTAGGGCTGCCAAAGCTCACTAATGTGATTAATTAAAAGCATCTAATCCTGTTAAATTGAATGCATTCACTTATACCTAACGTTAATGAGAATACTTCCATCTATGTTACAATGTATAACAAATAAATGCATATTTTGGAAGAAAAATAGTTCGGTCATTTCATAATTTGAGATTAACCATGTTTTTTTTCTCACAATTTTCTGTCCTACTAAATAAATATTTTGCTAGATGTCCTTGTAATCACGTGACTTTTTAGAGAGTCTTGCTACCATGCAGGTGTACGGCAGAGAATCTCACTTTGGCATTAAGTTGCTGAGTCTCCGCAAGGTGGTCTTGATAACTGGCCTGCATGCGTGCTTGCAGGGCGATAATGTCCTGCTCTCGTTTACTCAGCTGAGAGCTCAGCCTGGTCTCTACAGATGCCACCTTTGACTTCTCCACAGAGAGCTCCTATACAACAAACATAAATCATATGCAGGTCATGATCTGGCATGAAAACAGGCCATCAAAATACTTGTGGCTTCTAGTTGAAGGGTTGTGTAGAGCTGGTAAAAAAAAAAATTGTAGACAACCATTCAAAAAGTTTTTTTTTTTTTTTTTTTGTTTGAAAGAATTGATTACTTTATATTCAACTAGGACTCATTAACTGATCAAAAGTAATTATTGTTTTCAACATTACCAACCCCGAACTTTTGAATGGTAGTGTAGGTTTAAACCTTGGCACTATCACCATCAGACCAAAGCAAAATAATCAAGAGACTGGGCAGTTTTCCCCTAATAGAGTCCATATAAGGCTTAATGCGTGTGCACATATAAAACTTTTCCTAATTTGTACCTTCAGATTATCTTTATCAAACACATATTTGTCGCTGTACTTTTCCTAATTATTTTTTAGACTGGCATGAGTGTTTCAGGCCTCACTTTAGTCAAATCCCTCAGTCGGCTTTTAACAGCTGCTGAGTCCTCCTGCTCGGCTGCCAACTGCTTGTCTCGTTCTTCCAGCTGTTTCTTCAGCACAACTACCGGATCACCCTTCTGTGTGGCCTATAAACATGCATAAAACTCTGTTTAGTCAAACCTCTTGGTTGAGTTTAAATAAAGTGATAGAAAGTGAAAGATCACTCATTTAAAAATATAAAACAAGACAGATTTTAGGAAGTTGCCCATACCTTGTGCCATGTGTCCTGAATAATACCAGCCTTATCAGACAGAATCTCAATGAGCTGCTGGGCCTCTCCTTCAGTGAAAACTGTACTCCTCACCGTGGAAAGCAGGGCCTTGTAGGGCAAGTACAGTGGACTGTCCGCGGGGTCTGCAGCCACCGCTAGAGAGAAAGAAACAAAAAACATTACATTGATTAAGGTTAAGCCTAAGAAAAAAGATACAAATAACAGAACTCACAGAGTTAACTGCTATCCACTCAGAAAACACAGTTACATCCTTTTGGAGTGCCAGTGTCATTCTGTATTTGAGAGACGCTAAATCAGAAAGCTAAGAAGTGCTCTGCGGCAAAACCGTCTCTGGTCGCAGCAGGGTGTCCACTAAACTAAACTAATTGTGTTTATGAGTGAATTCTCCAAATAATTTTATTATACTCCTAAACATTCCCTAAACACCCACACCAAGATCTCCAGCATCCAATCAAACATGTTGAGAACAGCAGAGTCATAAAATAAAACAGACAGACCAAAACAAGTGCAGCTTCCAGAGAATGACGTGTACAATACAGTTAACTGAAAGCTTGTACAGTGGTGTGTGTATGCACTTTCATGTTCTTTATTGACTCGCTGTGTTATTTAGACAGTGCCAACATGGCATGAGTGCAGTGTGGCACCAGGGTGAGATGGCACCCAGGAGGACTGACGATAAACTCCTATTGTCCAGTCACTAAAGGCCTTTGTGTGCTCCCCTAATGGAGCAGCAGAGGCAAAAGTATTGTTTGAACAGGGCCAAGAGGGCTGTGCTTCGTTAAGAGGAGTGGAATTCTGGGTGCACGGAAACGCACCTGTGTGCTGCCACAAACTCTCTGCTTTTTCCCATGGCCAAAGCAGAGCAATACCTCATCACAAGCGAGTGGAAAATTCATAAGGACTGACTCTGTGTGCATGCATAAAAGGAGTTCAAACGAGTTTGAGAAAGAAATGTTTGACCACATAAAAAAAAAAAATACCTACAGTAGTAATGAGACATGACCGGAGTTATTTTATTATCATTTAATAGATTAAAGTATTTATACATTTTTTTATTATTATTTTTTTTTACATTTTGATTTATTTTTTACTTTAAGTTCTAGTGATTTGGTTTGTAATTTGTATTAGTTTTTCTCTATTTAGTTTTGGTAAATCTATTGCATTTCTAGTTTTAGTCATTTTACTACAACTTAACATGTTAGCTAACTAAAATTGTTTTTTATATTTTATTTTAATTTACATAAAATGTTTTTATTATTAGTTTTACTTAATGATAACAACACTGAAAGGTTGACTATTCTAACAATAAATTAACTAAAGAGTTAGGTTGAGCGAATTATCTAGATTTTTTTAGTGGTATTGCTCTATTTTGTGTTGTGACTAGTCGATTTTGACAATATGTAGTTTTTCACATCTCTAGTTGACACGGTGTGCAAAAAAGAGAGAAAGAAAGGCACAGAGAATAAAGTGAAGTCAAAATTATGCATAACATCATAAGAATCAAGGGCAAGGCAGAATGTGAAACTGTTATTAAATGAAACTCAAACTATGTGCTTAAGAGCCTGTGAACTAGCACACACACGTGCATGAAAACCAGCACAAGAGCAGAAGAATGCAGCTCACTGCCTCCAATCCCGTGAGTAGCACTTCAGACAGAAACCCACTCTGTGCTCTCTGCAACCAATCAGAGCAAACATCAGCAAATAAGGAGTAGTGCTATTCCAACACCCCGCCCACAAAGGAAATAGAGCACATCAGCGCTATTTGTCAGAAGAAACAATCCAGACGGTACTCTGAACGAGATGGCTGACATCAGGAAGTGACACGTATATAAACCTACGAGTCAGCCACTTCACATATACCATATTTTCAGGTTTTCCAGGCTCCACTTGGAGGTTTATTACAAGTAGATGTCATCTGTGTGGTCTAGCTAAAACAATTTTATCTCTGTGTATTTAAGGGTCTGGCAAACCAATCAGCAGTATCCTGTTATTGCACACTGAGGCCATACTTCCTTTAAGACATACCTGGATTGAATATATTCATTTGGACTGGCTTTTTAAAAAATTACAGGTCTAACATTAGCATCTGCTACACTTCAGAAAAATTAAACTGCATTCTCCTGATAATGTAAAATTAAAAAATAAATAAATAAAAAGTATAAATATAAATACTATATATAATAATAAATATAAATACAACATATAATAAATACATAATAATTACATATGTAACATTAAGTATTTATAAACATAAAAGAAAATAAATATTTTCAATATTAATCTTTATTAATATATAATAAAGATATTAAAGATGTACAAACAGAGAATGTGGGAATGAAAGGAAAACATTGGCACTCAAATTCAAGCTCCACATTTGCAGAGCACATACAAAAATCATTTGTCATGGATCAGACAAATATGAAAAAATGGCAAATCCTTCAAAACTAATGTTAACCTAATATAATCACTAGGTTAAAGCATTAGAGAGTCATTTTTGAGCTGCAATCTAGTGCCTATGAAGACTGTAATGTAAGCATTCATTTTCAGCAGCACCTGTTAGTCCTTCAATGTAGCAAAAGAAAGACAAGGAGGAATAGGAAACAGAGTAATAGACAAACTATGACTCCTGAGGTTTGATGATACCTTAGTGCATCCTACTGACTACCACTGAAAGCTACTTTTATTAATAATAATAATATTATTGTTAATTATTATGCCAATTAAGAGAAATGTCTAAAAATGTACAGTTGCAAAGAGAAACAGGAGGGGGCAGCCTCCTCCACTTCCTTTAGGTCTGTGCAGCCCGCCTAGTAATAATCTGACCAACTTAATATAGGTGATTTTGTGGAGATAATAGCATACCTGGCTCTGACTTCTTCTTGGAACCTCCTTTCTTCTTGGCTGGAGCATCCTGTTTGGGCTCTTCTGCTTTGGCCGGCACAGCAGTTGCTGAGACAGCTTTCGGAGTTCCCACTGGAGGCACTGCCATGACAGGAACCTTTTTGGTCACCATCTCCAATGGAGCCACAGATTTGGGCTGAATCTCAACAGAAACGGGCTCTGCTTTGGCTTTCTTCTTCCTCTTTTCCTTAGGAGATGGGGCAGGCGGAGCATCTTCGGGAGCAGGACGGGATGCAGGAGGGGTAGGACCTGCAGAAGCTTTTTGGGAAGGGGCCGGGGCAGGTGGACTGGGTTTTCTGTCGGGTGGAGAGGATTTCTGCACTGGGGCTGGTGGAGTGACTTTCTGGGCTGGGGCAGGTGAGGCAGCTTTCTGGGTCGGGGCATTTGAAGCAGACCTTTGGGGTGGGGCAGGCTGAGAAGATTTCTGTGTTGGGGCAGTTGGAACATAATTTTGGGTTTGGGCAGGCTGAGAACATTTCTGTGTTGGGGCAGTTGGAGCAGCCTTTTGGGTTTGGGCAGGCTGAGAAGATTTCTGTGTTGGGGCAGTTGGAACATCATTTTGGGTTTGGGCAGGCTGAGAAGATTTCTGTGTTGAAGCAGCCTTTTGGGTTTGGGCAGGCTGAGAAGATTTCTGTGTTGGGGCAGTTGGAGCAGCCTTTTGGGTTTGGGCAGGCTGAGAAGATTTCTGTGTTGGGGCTGTTGGAACATCATTTTGGTTTTGGGCAGGCTGAGAAGATTTTTGTGTTGAAGCAGATGGAGCAGCCTTTTGGGTTTGGGCAGGTTGAGAAGATTTCTGTGTTGGGGCAGTTGGAACATCATTTTGGTTTTGGGCAGGCTGAGAAGATTTCTGTGTTGAAGCAGTTGGAGCAGCCTTTTGGGTTTGGGCAGGCTGAGAAGATTTCTGTGTTGTGGCAGTTGGAGCAGCCTTTTGGGATGGGGCAGGTTGAGAGGATTTTTGTGTTGGGGCAGTTGGAGCAGCCTTTTGAGTTTGAGTAGATTTTTGTGTGGGGGCCGGTGGAGCAGATTTTTGTGCAGGGGCCGGTGGGGCGGCTTTCTGGTCTGGGGCAGGTGGAGCTGCTTTCTGGGCATTCTGGGCATTTGAAGCAGACTTCTGAGCGGGGGCAGGTGAAGCGGATTTCTGTGCAGGGGCAGCTGGAGCGGACTTTTGGGCTGGGGCTGGTGAAGATTTCTGGGTAAGAGGAGGTGAAGCAGATTTCTGGGCAGAGGGAGTTGGAGAGGATTTCTGGGCAGGAGGTGCTGGAGTAGACTTTTGGATAGGTGCAGCAGATTTTTGGACCGGGGCAGGTGGAGTTGACTTCTGGGCTGGGACAGTCGAAGCTGATTTCTGAGCTGGGGCAGGTGGAGTGGGCTTCTGAGAAGGGGTGGGTTGAGGAGACTTCTGAGCTGGGGCCTCTTGTTTAGGTACTGGTGTAGAAACTTGTTCTGGGGCTGGAGGAGTTGGAGGACTGGGCTCAGCTGGCACTTCTGTAACCTCAGGGGTGGCCTCTGACTCCAGGAGCTTCCCGTTGGGCTTATCTTCCTTTTTCTTAGCACGATTTTTTTTCTCAGCTGCCTTGTCCTTTTTCTTCTTGTCCGACCGTTGGCTGGATAGGGTCTTACCCTGCTCCTTCCGCTGCTTGGCTATAGCTTCTTCATATGAGGTCTCCTTCATGGAAAATGTTGAGACCAGAGCAATCCCAATGGCTGAGAACACCATGAAGCCACCAAACACCACAATTCCAAGGGTCTGAGGATCGTAGATATCCATGACTGCTAGTTAGCGTTCTGATTAAAAAGAAAAAAAAGTGTAAGGTTTGGTATACTTTTATGTCAATAATATTTGTATATTCAAACATAATATATTCCATACATTTTAAAGCTCCACATTAAGGCAGCTAAAGCTTCCAGTAACGTAAGTCCCTCTTACCTTCAGATTATCTTTACCAAACATATTTGTCGCTGTACTAGTTTTTTTAAATTTTACACCAAGCAAGAACATTATACTAAGTTGGCTTTTGAATGTTGACCTGAAGAAAAGCTTCTTCCTTACAATATGCAAACACTGCATTTGGTAGAAGAGGTCCATGCAACCAAAAAAAAAAAACAGTATAGATGTCCAAGTGTGCTACCCTCAACTTCTACTACAAAAACTTTGACGAAAAGCTGCTTCCCTACAATATGCAAACACTCTGTTTTTTTAAAAAGGAGTTATGTAAGAGTTTTCCATTCCACCATGTGCTGCTGTCTGCAAATTTCTATACTCTGCTGCTTCCATGGGACTCATGCCAATCTCACACTTCAAATGTGCACCAAAGCACAAATGTGTTGCAAAAAAAGCTGTGAACTTGACATATCCCAGAAGCAAGAACAATCTAGACAACTTTCAGAGCACAATAGAGGTTTAGTGGCCATCGGTAACATGTACATTGGAATGCTAAGTTTTTGGGTAAACAGATTTGCGCAGACTGCTCTATTTTCCAATTAATTATTAGATTAGATTATACAGGAAACTTAAATGAATGAAAAAGCATAATCAATATTAGATTAAAAAATATACTGTATATTGTAAGATTATTTGCATTATGTTTATACCTTGATATCCACTTATAGACTTGCTCATTTATAGTGAAATGCGCAAACAGGAGAAAATGAGGGCGGGGGGATTTTTTCTCTGAAATTTCAATGATTGTGCCTGTAAAATGTGACAGACTGTATTTATGTTGTACATTTATTTCTGTCTTACATATTTAAATGTTATAAGAAATAATCATTAATAATAGTTATTATATGGTTCATTTGCAATGACTTTACTGGGAGCCATTTAAAGAGCCAATAGGAAATTACGGGGAGATTCAACATTTGCTATGAAACTGAATTAAAAGGCTGATTCATATTAGATGAAACAGGATTTGTTCCATATTCTCATTTGACACCTATTCATAATGTTGCTGTTCAATGAACATACAATAAGAAATCAAGGCTGAGAGTTTGTGAACCCTACAGCTATTCTTGAAGTATGAATGATCTATAAAAATTATGTTTAAACAAATTTCAGATAATTCTCACAGACAGTAAAGCTGTTAGAGCCGAAATGTGTTATTTAATATACAGTTTTCTTTGCTAACTCACAAAGGAAAAGCTGGAGTTAACGTTAACTGTCTGCCTACAACAGAGCATCACTCGAACCAAATTGTGAAACCACTTCTTATAGTCATGCTATTCGCTTCGTAACTACAATAAGATGTCTTCGACACACTGGGCTTATGAGCTAGTTAAAGAGGGAGTAAATAAACGGGAGAGATCAAAGTTTATTGCTAATTGCTACTAAAAATCTTTTAAGATTATAATGAATAACGCCATAACAAAAGCTTTAAATAGCTCACCTTTTCTCGCGGCAGATTTCCGTTGGATGAATCACTTCAGGAAGAGTTTAAACAGAAGTGGTTATCTCGAATCCAACTGCCTCACCACTCCAGCCAAAAACAAACAAACAAACAAACAAACAAAAAAAATTTTTATCCCCAGCTTGAGGAGTCAGTCGATGACTGCGTGGAGTCGTGGCACTTTCTCGCGCTGGCATTACGCCGGTCAGTGGCCCACATTCCCTTCATCCTGAAGACAGCTGATTGGCTGGAGTGGAGTCAGTCAAACAGATGCGAACCAATAGAATTTTGTTGTCGTAAAAGAAGGCTGGTCTTTTTTATTTTAATGGGAGTTGTAGTTTTTTCACAGATTTCAATCGACTACCAAACACACACACACACACACACACACACACACACACACATACGTATAGTAACACAGACAATTATTTCAAATATATTATGACTCAATTTAATTTTATTTAAAAATACAAAATACAGTTAGTTTAAATATTAATTTAAAATACAGCCTTTAATTTCCACCATTTGTTTCACATGAAAATAACTTTTAATGGATAATAATTCCATATTTAACGGATTGGATGCCTCGAAAAATAAGAAAATAAGAAACAATACCTTGCTGTGAACATTTATACAAAAGAAAATCCAGCTTCAAGGAAACAGTTTTCAGAGTCATTAACTACCATTTATATCATTCTTATGAATGATTGTTTAAAAGGTTGCTTTAAAGGTTGTTTAAAACTGTTTAATATGCTGTGACTGTGGGCAAAGACCGTTTTAAAAGTAATGTGTAAATGAAGGTGTGAATTATTTATTGCTAAGGTCCTTGACAAATCAATATAAGACAAGTCAGTATTTATATTCTTTATCTTTAATTGCCTTAAGCTTATACCATGTCATTCAGTTATGGAGCTGTTTATTGAACATAGATGAACATATATTGAACATAAAAAAAAATCTTAATTTAATTTTGAAAGGTTATTCTTTGGTGTGGTTGTGTTGTGTTGGGTGTGTGGTGTAACATTCATTTGTTTAGCAGCGGGTGTGGTTTCCATAGAGCACTAGATCATCAGTAGGAACGTTTTTAAATATTTAAACATTTAAATGTTACAAATTATATTATTTAATTATAACTTTAATAATGATGAACGAGGCTTCAAAACATATCATGCTTTGTAGAAGTCAAACATACATCACTGTACACTTCAAAGCAGATTTTAAGAACTGTGAGAACTCATATGAGTGAACTAAAGTTTACTTTAAAGGAGTGGATGCACACATTCCACATTCATTTGTTTATTGTGTATTAGCATGGTGTAATAGTACTCACAGAATCAAATCGAATAAGAAGGCGTTGAAAGAAATATACAGTAAAGCAAATTTAGTGCGTCACTCCACACCTTCTTGCCTCTCCTAAGAAACACAAGTAACTTCCGGCATGCTTTCATTTAATTACTTTATAGGTGAAATGTCTTGTCTGTTGTTTTTTCTTTGCAGTTTACACTTCTATATAAGTACAGAATATTCTTCGATAGGTGACAATAGTATGCACTACTGCATTATTCAGACTTCATTTTCTTTGTAGTTGCATAATCCTCTAAGACTGTTGAACCTGCACATGTAAAACACATTTGCAAAATTTATATTGTGTGATATACAAGTTACATATATTTTCTTTAAAAATCAAAACAACATGTCCAAACATATCCTAATTCAATATTTTCAAATGTTTATTCACCCTCAGGATAAAAAACAGTGCCCACAAAATGTATTTGCTTCATAATAGTCTTGAGTTTTACAACAGGTCCCATATGTATGTAAATGCTAGAAAAACTGGCATGAAACTGTTGGATTTACTGCTGACTCGTGGATTTATCGGTAAGCCATTCGAGGTCAAGTCAACGTGGTCTGTTTGCTAAGTGAGTGAGCAAGTCAGAGTTACAGTAGTGCATGGTCTAGAAAAGTATTGTCAAAGGACTATTTGCAATTTTTCATTCATTGCTTGTTATTGTCTAACCCTAATGGTTGTAATTAGCACATGGACGTAAATGCAAAAGAATAATAAATGTTATACCTTTGTTCATATTAAATGAGTTCACTTTAAAAATCAAGCTAGAAACAAAAATATAATAAATGTTCTAAAAATGCTTTTGCAATTACACAAAAATACAGTACAAACAGCACGTCATTTTAAAGTATTTTGCATTGTTCTCTAGTCTAGAGCACAGATGGAGTCCAGAACATTATATAACCTATAAATGACTGCATGGTGGATAGTGTCTCAGCTGTTACTGCAATGTTTGATGTCTGTAGAGCAAACAAAACTGCTTCTCCAACTTTATCAAGAGAAGTGGACAAACTGGTCTGCTTGGCGAAGGTACAGTATATAAAAGGACTATACATTTCTGAGAATCATAGATATCCAAATTTCTGTCAGAGCCAATTTGCTTCCTGTTGTTTTTGTGCTGAGTAATGGATTTTCATCACATTTTCATTAGGTCCATTTATAATGTCAGTTATAAAGTAATAATTTAGTGTTTCAGGCCCATTTTCATTCACTCATTTATTTATGTATTTGATTATTTATTTACACCTTTACTTGTATCTAATATTTACCTGGATTGAACACCCTGAAACAGACCAAGCAGCGCCAAGAGCACGCTCTTATCTAACCACTCAATGGACTGAACACAGGGGAATCAGAGCAGATGCTCTCACTGACTTTAGAGAATATCGTGGAGTACTTCAGAGCACTTTCTGCACCTGAGTTTCTAACTGTTCATACTGTCTGGGTTACAGCAAAATTTTCTGTCAGTTTGCATGCTCATTATGAGTTTTGTCCCTTTTGTAGTCTTGCTGGGTAGCCCCGCCCATTGTGAATTCTCATTGACCAAAACACGCTCCTAACATTAATCAGGAAATACTCCTAAATATCTTCTCATTGATATTGAATTTTTATGTCACTATCAACTTCACTGTCCTCTATTTCTTTTGTTCATTTCAAGATCTAAGTTCTGTTAACACCACTTAAAAAGAAGTACAAATATTAACCTGTCAGTCAACAATTACTTTATACATATCAGTCAACAAAAAGTAACTTTACATACACCAAGTTATATATAACATGAACTTATCTATTACCTCCCAGTTTTACCTGAGACTTTTTTTAAGTGATTCATTGCATTTTCACTTAACTGTTCACAGCCTTTCTTTCTTTGAAAAAAAAAAAAAATGTGGGGGGTTGCGGGTTTATTGCCCTTGCCATCTTCTGTTTTGTGCAGGTGCAGTCATTTGACACAGGACAAGGCACTCCGACCCAGAATTCTGACATGTGATTGGGTAATCCAAAGACAATCTTGAAACTCTGGAAAGTAGGTCCGTAAAATGATTTTTAGATTGTGGTTAAAAGGAAACTGGGACAGAAGTATATAAAGATTTAATGGCATTGTAAGAGCGTAATGAAAGTCTAGTATGACTGGAAAGTGGGTGGAATTGTATTGGATGACCCACTTAACGTCTTATATTTCTGTTTCAGCTGCTCAACTTTGTATTGTATATGTAAGGGAGAAAGTACATTCAGCCTGTACAGTTCCCTTCAGGGCCCTGATCGACCTGTGGGGGTTGCTTTGGTATTATGATAGACAGACTGACATTATTCTCATTTTTACTGAACTACTATCCAAATAAATAAATGGACACTAAATTCCTGTTGAAATTATTTTATTATGTGTTCACTGCTAAGTGACATAAAAGACGTGAATCTACACAGTAAAAATGCTACAGTAAGAAACCTTTAATTGGTAACGGTAAGCTCTCTTACTATACAGGGAAAAAGTGCAATAGCTTTAACCTTACATTTAATGTAATTTTACAGCAAAATACTGATGAATGTACAATTTTTGGAAGAAAAAAGAACATAAGTAAAGTCATCTTATAATTTACAGTGAAAACCTGCTAAATGACCTTCCCAGAATTCTCTGGGTGACACTTCACATTTGACGGTATTTTGTTTAAATGATTGTGTTTTGTGATCGTTTTGTTATCAGTTATGTATATTAGGATTATATGTTACAACTCATGTTGTGAATGTTTATTGCATTATTTTTGTGCAATATGTTACCATGATGGTGTTTTGTGTTTGTGTGTATGACACTGTGCGCACCACAGCCTATATATTATTATTTACCTCAGCTTAAAGGTTATTTGCAATGAACTTTGCTTCTTCCTGTGGCTTTTTCTTTACCAACTGTGTTATTGTAGTGGTTGTCAGTATATGTTAAAGTTACAAACCAGATATTAGTAGCAGCTTGGCCTTGACCTTTCAGCAGAAAAGGCTGTAGGATTTACCAGATTAAAATGTTTTTGTTGCTGTTTTTGTTGTTTTGTAAACAGCAATATTTACAGGTTGTTCTGTAAATATGTTCACATTTTTACTGTATTATTATAGAACTATTCTGGCAAACATAGCAGCATTTTTTTCTCTTAACTGATTACCAGATTACTGATTATATACAAAAATATTTGAGCACTGAATGTCATTTCTGATCAGAATCAAGTATACAGACAGGCTTTTAGCTATGTATGTTACTTTAAAAGCCAAACTTAATATATACACATCATTTATACAGTGTTGTGGAAAAGGTCTTTAACATTGTATGTGTTCAGATTTTATTATGGGAATAGATAGACAGAGTCTGTTAACATGGACACAAGGTTTGGTGTGTATTGCATTTGTTTGGTGTTCAAGGTTTCAGTTATTCTCCAGGGTCAAAACACAAAAATACTTTAAATTGTGGATAGTAAAAAAAAAAAAGAAAAAAAAGAAAAAGAAGACCATAAAAACTGCAACCAAGTTATTCATCGACCTTTACATCTGATCACATTACTGGATAGCCTCCAGATATACAGTCATGGCCAAATGTTTTGGCAGTGACATAAATTTTGTGTTTTGCAAAGTTTTCTGCTTAAGCTGTTGTGGTGTTCATTCACATTGTTTCTAGATTATTGTGTAGAGTGATCAGATGCATTTTAAATAATTGCTAAAAGCTTAATTGGCCAAAAAATGAACTTTTCACAAAAAAAACATATTTCACTGTTTTTTTATCCTGACACAAAATTACCAGCTAACATTAATTGACTAATCATATCAGCAGCACATGTGAAAGTGTGAATGAGTACTAGTCAGGGGAAATCACTATCATACTAAATAGATT